GATTATTATATACACCGAGTGGCCGGATTATTATATACACCGAGTGGCCGGATTATTATATACACCGAGTGGCCGGATTATTGTATACACCGAGTGGCCAGATTATTATATACACTGAGTGGCCGGATTATTATATACACCGAGTGGCCGGCCATCCTGATTTGCACACAAGCCTGGATGACCTGTCAGGGGGTCACTAGTGGGCGGGTCTCAGGTCCTTCCATGGACCTCCATGTCCAGGTCCAAGCCTTCTATTCACATTGTGGACTTCTGTCTCCTCTGGTGACTACGGAATGAATCAAATATCTCTAATATCAGTAAATGAAGAGAATATCTGTGACATCATCCCGCTCCTATATTCTGAAGTCACAGGCTCCTCGGGACAGGAAAAGACCATTAAGGGGCAAATATGACCGGGACACAAATCAGAATGGTGAAATGATCTATTGCTGGAATGATATCACACTCCCCATGCTCATAGATCACCGAGGATGTGTTAGAAACCTAAAAGAATCCCATGGGGACTTCTCTCAGATCATCTCCCTCATTCTCAGGGCTTTGTGGGGTGTTATAAGTATGGAAGGGGGTCACATGTCTGCCCATTGCCAAAGCCCAGCCTTGGCAGCTGAGTGGACTAGCTGGGTCTAGGCGTGACTGATGACCATCCGGGACACTCGGCAACAATGACAAGGCCGTGTTCACTCTACGAGACGCTTCTCGAGGCTGCAGTTCCTCTGAGCTCCACAAGGTGGTGACCTCACCTATACCGAGACAGGATGTCTCTATGGTGAACAGACAGGAAGTGATGTCAGGTACTGATGGGAAGTGATGTCACATAGAGACAGGAAGTTCCGGGTGAGGTGAATTTCGAGGCCGTATAAAGAACACATTGCTGGAACTGGCAGCAGAGGAGGTAATAAGATATTATTAATTATTTGCCCCCCCCGTCACGTCCTTCCTCGTCCTCCATAGACACTGTGATGTCTTTTATCTCCAGCAGATTCTACTACACACATATCTACACTATATTACAAAAAGTATTGGGACACCTTTACACGCAGATGAACTTTAATGGCATCCCAGTCTTAGTCCGTAGGGTTCAGTATTGGGTTGGCTCCGCCCTTTGCCGCTATAACAGCTTCAACTCTTCTGGGAAGGCGACCACAAGGTTTAGGAGTGTGTCTATGTGAATGTTGGACCATTTGTGAGGTCAGGTACTGATGTTGGGGGAGGGGCTTGCAGTCTCCGCTCTAATTCATCCCAAAGGTGTTCTATGGGGTTGAGGTCAGGACAGGTGTGCGGCCAGTCACGTTCCTCCCCCCCCCTCCCCCATCTATGTCTTTATGGACCTTGCTTTGTGCACTGGTGCGCAGTCATGTTGGAACAGGAAGGGGTGTTCCTCTCCCTGTGTAAGACTTTTTGTTTTCCTTTTTAGTTTCTGGGCATTCCAACCGATCGGTGTTGTAATATTTCCATGCACTGCTCATACCACCTCTGTACTTCATCTGCTGTACATGATACCTGTTGTATTGTTGTCCGATTTGTGCCCTGCCTTACGCATCTTGATTGTATACACCTATGAATTTGGACATTGCCCTTCCTGTGCTGTTGTATTGTTTTTGTCTTCGTTGCTATGATAAAAACTCAATAAATTCTTTGTTAAAAAAAAATTGTTGGGGAAACGTCTATATTAACCCCTTCAGGGTCAGAACTTTTACCCGAATATGGGGTTGGAACATTGCCTTCATTTTGGAGATGTGTCACCTTAGCAGTCTCTTGTATTAGAGATGAGATTTGGATTCGGTTTGTACTGAAATTTGATCTCAATTTCCAGGATTTTTTATTTTATTTGGACTTGCAGTTAATGAAGTTTGGAGCTCACCCATAATGCTCTGCGCAGCCTTTGTCCCTGTCACCAGTCAACCAGCAAATAATGGATAACTCCGCCCCCCTCACTATAAGCGGGGGTGGGAGATCAGCCATAACCCCGCCCCTCACTATAAGCAGGGGTGGGAGATCATCCGTAGTGTCAGCGTGTCTGGTGAGGGAGAGCTCCTTTGTAGGGACACATCAGTGGATGGATTTAGTGACGTGTTCGTGAGTTGTGTGTTGCAGTGGTGGCTCCATCTTCCTCCTCCCAACACTGAGCACACAGAGTTCAGCCGGCATTGCTGATGTCCCCTCTTTATCTTAATCTTCCTCCACTTCCCCCTTATTCTTCTTCTTCTTGAGTCTCAGACATAATCTAATGTAATTTTTCTTTCCGAATCACACAATGCCTCATCCCTCCCTCTTCATATCTGGCCTACAACACAGGCATACATGTCACTCTACATAGTCACATAAAATGGAGGTCATCTCCTCACTGAACAGTATTGTTGTTATTGGTACATGTCCCCAGAGCAGAGCCCAGCTCCCTTGTATGACAATCCCTTGTCCATGAGCCTTAAACATGGAGAGAAATTCTTTCCAGGATTCGCCTCCTATAGACTTCAGTAGTAAGTGCCACCATCACTAGTCACATGACGTCACTCTTATCTCTACCGATACAACACAGAGCTGACCGGAGAGGTGAGGAGGATTCTGGGATTCTAACATGATCTTCCTATTGGTTTCTCCATCCAGAGTTTTCCTCTTCTGAAGTCAGGTGATCATCTGTCCATCACAGTGCCTCCATGTGACTCCTTAAGACCTGAGAGACCCAACATGGAGAAGATTCTAGAAGTCACCAAGAACATCGCTGAGCTGCTGACAGGAGAGGTGAGTGGTGCCGGGAATTCTGGGACATGATCCAGGAACAGACAAGGGATGTGTCTGGGTGGTGACGGTATCATTGTGTGTGTCAGTGATATTGATGACGATGATTGTACAGAAGCGTGTTTGATACAATTAATGTTTTATTATATATTCAGATTGGAAACCTCGGGAACTATAATGATATGAAAGAAGAGTATAAAGAGGAGGATGAGGAGTATGGAGTGATGAAGGAGCTTTCTGAAGGACACAAGGATCTCTACAAGAACATTATGATGGAGCCACCTAGTAAGAGGAACCCACCAGAGAGATGTCCCCGTCCTCTGTATTCCCGGGATTCCACACAGGAAGATCTCGCCGTCCCCCACCATGATCAGGTAGGTGGAGTTGAGTGATTGAAGACTCTGACATGTGGAGATGATGTGTGGACTCTACAAGATGAGACTTTCTGCCGTTCTGTTGGTTTAGGGTGAAGATCTGATGAAGGTGAAAGCTGAGGGTGACGTAGAAGAGACGTATGTGAGGGATGATCAGCAACATACGGAGGAGGATGGAATGATGAGGACACTCAAAGAGGAGGACACTCCTACAGAGATCAGCACAGGTGACCCATAATATATTCTTCTATTATCTCTGCTCTGTTCCTGCACACTGATTGGTCCAGAGTAGGGCGGGATCTGAGTGATATCAGCCAATAGTAGGTTGGTAATGGTCACCTCCCTGTACTGATACCCGTCCTGGGGCTCAGCTGGCAGTATTGGGTTGGGTGTCACTCCTAGTTCCAGGAGCACAGATATGAGGACACAGATTGGGCCTTTCTTAGGTCGGTTCCTCTTCTTCCAGGAGAACATACTTCTCCAAGCTCCCTCCAGTGCTGCTCATCACCAGAAGCCTAGGCCTGTGGTCACCTGTCCTATGGTGAAGGGCTACAACTCTGAACTTTGATCCTCTTGTTCCTCAGAGGTCACATGATCCAGTGCCTAGGCTTGTGGTTGGGTGAAGAGAATGCTCCTCCCAGTCCTTATTGGCTCCACCTCTTCTGACATGGCTGTGTAAATGTAGAAGTGATCTGGGAGGATGACCAAAGGCCCTTTGACTGAAGAGGGGAGGAGTCCCGGCTGGTTGGGGCCTCCCCATAGAACATCTGCTCCCTCAGACCTCCTGATCCAGATGGAATGTTGAGTGAAGTCATCTAACCCTCTCATATCTCTCCATCGTGTGTTTCTATGTTTCCAGGACACGCCATGGAGAAACCCTCAAAGGATCCTCTGACTTTATCTCCAGGTTGTAAGATGGAAGATGAGGACATCACAGCAGATTGTGCGGGAGAAGAGACAATGAGCTCAGCTATGGATGGTGGACTTCACAGTGTGGATAGCATGGGATCC